TACAGTACAAACGCAGCACCCAGACTGTGCATGGCTCAAGCATCACACTTGGTTTAAACTGGATTATAAAACTAGAATAAAACTCCATACAAACATTTACTCCACATTTACAAGAAGTACTCTGCAGTCAGTCCTCCCAGGACAGGATAATTTCCCTGCACTCAGCAGTGCCATTCCGGACCGACAGCAACCCAACATCAATAAGCCTCTGCCCCCTCCCTCTCTGGTTGCCAGCACACACTTTCTCTCCCTTCCCTGAAATCTGAAACTGGTTCTACACTTGGACATTATCATTTTGTTAACACAAATAGGTAAATACACACATCAAGCACACTGCAAAGGGCTTGGGCTCTGTAGGCTGTCATTTCCAGCAGTCGCCTCAAAGCTTGGAGTTGCCCAGAGCTGCCTGCAAGCAATTGCTCACAAGCACTTTTTTGGTCTTTTATTTTTTGTTTTGATTTCAATGACGAATTCTCCCTGTTGTCATCTGGACAGCATTTGGAGGACAGCAGGATCCTGTGCATACCACTGCAGTTGGCAGCACTGCAGCTGAGCTGGGTGCTCTCAGTCTGTCCTGCCCAGCACAGTGAGAGGAGAAGGAGCCAAAGTCCAGCTCAGGTGTGAGCAGCTGGAGGCAGGAATACACACAATGACAGGAAACTGGGTACATCGCCTTTGCAAAACCAAATAAACAACACATTTAAAAATATAAAAAAGCCTCCCCAAAACCAGCTTGGACAAAATCCTTTCCTTCCCCCAGCAACACAGGGATGCAGAGGCTGAAGTGTTTTCACACTGAAAGCATGGCAGCGTTTGTGAGCTTTCTCTACAGTCTACAAATAAACAAAACCCAGGGAGTGCTTTGCATTCAATAGTTAATCACAGTTGGCTGAGTGTTTTTATTTTTCTTACTGTAAAGGCATTCTTGGTCCGCCTCCCAAACAGCTTGTTTTGTCTGAGAGATTTAATCTTGAGTGGCAGGACGAGGTGCAAAGACAAGCCTCAAAACTATTCTTATTTTTCTGTAGCAAGATGTCAGTATGTAAAAGCTAACTGCCCTGCAAACAAGCCCCTCAGGCTGGCATGCACAGGGCTTCTTGCCACAATTGCCAGTCTGCTAGATACTCTGGCCCACAAAGCAGCTCATTTCACTCGGTTCTAATGCTTTCCTGTTTGCTCTTTAAATGGTCTAAACAAGTAGAATTCAATGCATGTTAGACCAGTTTCTAGCCCTAGCTCCTCCCTGAAGAAGCATCTTGTTTGTATACAGGGAGCGCTGGCTCCAGATGCCCAGCCTACATTCAAATCCAAACATGGTTTTTCTTCAAGGCAACATCAAGGCACCTTTCATAAAAATGAAGGGATGATGCAATACCTATATAGTGCATCAACAAGTACTTGAGCTGCTTTGCTCAGAATTAGCTTAGGCAGTTACTTAAGAGCACTATGCTGTACAAACATCAGCTGCATTTTTGAAGCCATCCCTACTAACAAAACTGAAAAAGTACTGAGTTTATTTAATTTTTATGTTTTCATACTTTTATGATCTGAAAATGGCCAGAAACGGTAAACTTATGAAATCTCCCCAATTACACTCTTAATTTTGTTTTTATGTGCTATTGCCTCTGAACAATCTTTAAAGGAGATAGATAATACCATAGATAATACCAGGTTGTGCTTAGATCTGTATCACAGGTATTAAGAAGTTAATAAAACCACGTCCAAGTTGCCTGGGAGGTATGTCTGCAGGTCATTTAGTCCAACATTTTGCTTGAAGCAGGACTATCTCCAGTTGCTAGTAGGACCACCATGGCTTTGCCTACTCATGTCTAACACAACTCCAGGGAGATGCTCCAACCTTTGGAGGCACTTCTTCTACTTCTACTGCTGGACTGTTTCCTCTTCATGGAAATGCTCTCTGCTGTGGGCTTGGTACCCTGGAGATTTGTGCATTTGATGGTGTTGAGTCTGGAGGCAGAATTTTTGGTAAGTCTTACCTATAAACATAATCCAACAGAGCGTGCAGGAAGCAGTCATGAAACTGCCCGCAAATTCATCTCAACAGCTTCTTACAGCTCCCCTAGTCCTGTGTAACATTAGACATACTTTCAGTGTTTCTCTCGTGCATATGCTTTAAAATCAGTAGAAGTTCTTAGCAAATATGAAGCCTATACACACAATTGTGTTAAGTGATGCTGGTAACCTCCAGCACCTTTTCAGAGTTTTCTCTGAAGTGACTTCAAGCATACAACCTGCTTCTTGAGCCTGCTCCAAGGTATCCCTGGAGCAGAGAAAATAAGTAACACTTCACACAGTATAGGTAAAGTGGGGACCCTTTTGACAGAGTATATCACAGTGCTGAATACATAGTTCAATTTTGAAATGGGCCATGATCCATTTCTAAAGCACCATGATAAAAATAATGCATAATTCAACAAAATGGCCATTACCAATGCAGAAGAAATACTCCTACCATCCATAAAAAGTGCGACAAACCAAGTGATGAGATTGTTTTTAAATCTCTCTTATGAAGTACCCCAGCACTGGCTAATGTCAGATACAGGGAATTGGATACGCCCAAACAATGTCCTGACAGACACCACCTCCTCTTCAAACCAGGCACCTCCGAGTGTTGTTTGCAGCCTTGCTTTGAAAAGCCTTTTCCTCATGAGCAGGTATTTACCCAGCTTTGCATGAGCAATCCAGGTCGGTGCCGAACACCCATGCACTGGAAGAGAGGAAGGCAGGATCAGGTTATGGGGGTTTTTCATGCAACCTGCCCATAATTAGCCTGAAGCAGCAGCTGAGTCACTCACAAGAGTCCCGGGTGCTATTAGGACCAGACACGCAAGGGCCCAGCATATAATTATACAGCCACCACCATGCGGAACTGCTCCATTTTAGCCATCTGACCCCATTAGACAGCTGTTATTTCTTCTTGGCTACAAGTTCTGTGGGTAGTCCGAAGAAGATGAGCCCAATTCTCACAGCACAAACTCATTCAGCTAAACTCACCTCTTTCTTGCTGAAACCAGCAGATGCCATCCTCTTTTCTGGCCCATCTGTGGGCTGCCTGAGAGCTCCCCTATGCTTCAGAGGCAGATACTGGATACAAGGTACTGGGAGATGAGCGCAGAAAGTCTAGCAAACACAACATGCCAACAGTGTCTATTTCATCAGAGGGCAGTAATAAAACAACCACTGAAACAGGCCATGGAACTGAAGAAATGTAAGAAACAAGCTATTTCTATAATACAGATTTTTATTTGGACATTTTGCTCCCCTTTCTCATAACAAGGATAGAAAAGTTCAGATAGAAAGCTGGTTACTGATAGCCACTGAACTTTTTACGTGCCTCTAGGGTGATGCAAGGAGAAAGTTCTCTGCAGAGTCTCTGCTCTCTGGTAGAACAGAGGCAGAAGAACAGAGAGCAGGCTCAGTTGGCCAAAACACAAGAAATCACTCCTAGCTGGCAGGGCTGTACTTGTGTTGCAGCTGGATTTTGCAGCTGCCTTTTCCTATGAAGGCATTAAGAGGAAACTCCTGGCTTCAGCAGCAGCAGCAGCAGGGTGGCATTCCCCTCTGGCAGCTCCTGTGTTGGGCACAAAAACGAACCTCGTCCCAGCTGATGAGCAACCAAGCCTGTTACCTCCTGCAGCCGAGATCTCACAGGCTACACACAGCGCCTGAGCCAGCAGAGGCTGTTTCACCGGTCCTCTGAGGAAAAGCAAAAAACGGTCTGAGTTTTTGTCACTCCTGGTTGTCAGCCTGTCAGACCGAGTTCAAGTGAGGTTTGCTGGGAGGGGTGTGCGATGCTGGGGCTGCTGCTGACTCCGCAGTTCAGAGAAGAAACACATGGCTCCAACCTCGAATTGCTACTCTCACACCAGTGCTACATCCCCTTTGAAAGACGCAAATAACCTCGCCGGCTCTGATTTTTAAACAAGTACTGAAAAAATTTTGCTGAAAGGGACAGTGGAATAAAGGAAACAGGATTCAAATTTGAATTAGCTTTAATCATTTCAAATAAACACCATGTAAATAAAATGTACCCTGTTTGCTGGCGGGCTTGATGGCTTACAATGTACTCGCCCCACCCAAATCAAGGACTTGAAATGGAGCAGCAGTGGAACAGAAACCCCCGTCATCCTCAGGGATAGGAAAAGCATCATTAGGGTTTAACTAGAGTTTGATGAAAACACGGAGCACCTCAAGGATCAATTTTCACCACAGGCAGCTGCAGCACAAGGCATTAATACTTCACCCTCGCTGGTGACAGGAGAAACGCGGGGAGCTGTAGGCACAAATAACATTAGGTTTCTAGTGTGTATTTTGCTTTTCATGCCTGCAATTAAACGCTTGCTTTACTTCCTGTTGTTTAAAACTGCATTTATTCTTTAGCGCTGCAAGAAAAACCTCCTGTATTTTTTTTAATTTGTACCGGGGACACGTTTGAAGGCCCATATTGTAGACTCAGCAAGTGGCAGGGCAGCCGCCAAACCTTGCTTCCTTTGTTGATTTCTTGATGATTTAAGACCTATTTTCAGCAGCCGATACTGGTTTTCCCCCTTGCCTTTTTGCTTGGTAACTACCACTTTAACAAAATGGTGTTTGTGCAGTGCCTTGGAACCAAGAACTGAGGTTTTAAATGTAAGATAGGGAACAGAATAAGAAAAGCAGGTCAAAAATCACCTACACGCCATGTTTTTCAAGGCATTTGCTTAGAAATATATAGCAGAACCCTTGAGTTCTTGCAGAATAAGACTTACATTGCTAGATTTTTATTTCCTACATAGCTAAAATTACTTGCAAGTTTCTGATATTTGTGTTGTTCACCTTCCCCCAGCACAAAGTTTTAAATCATTGCCTGAATCTACAAAAATCGGTAGATTAAAATATTAAAAAACCCCTGCACTGTTGACAGATATTATTCAGATTTTTACTGACTTTCCCTGTAGGGGCAAACCTTATTGATGGAAAGCATAAACAGGAAAAGATAGTGACTGATCAATGGTTTATTTAGGTGTAGACTTCCTTCAGAAAAGGACAATACATTTTGCCCCTCCTAATTTGCTAGCATGCAAATTAAATGAAGATTTGGTGCAAAAAATGTATCCAGTACCCTCGGCATGATTATTCTCTCTGCTCTGGTAACAACTGAGCCTCTCTTCAGAATTCTTCTATTGTGGAAAATACACCACCTGGCTTAATAAGTAAAAAAGAGTTTCTACGTATTTTTACAGCAAATAATTCTACATTTAATATAGGCCCATAGATGTTTGCATACACCTTGTTGCCTTGTTAAAATAAAAACCTCAAACTTGCTAAAAATAGCAGTAACTAGTAAGGATAAACCCAGAACAGTACAGAAACCTGAAAACAAAAGTGAAAAGAAGATGACTTAAGGGATTTTCAGTAACATTCAAGAAGCAAGTGTAACTCTTAGGCTTAATGAGTGTTACAATACATCAATTACAGAGACATAAGTAATTTAAAGGGAAGAGTGTTCACTGGCAGTCAGTTTGGTCACAGATTTCATTTGCTTCACAGGGCAGGGACAGCACCCTGTAATTAACAGTCATGGTCAGAAGCTGTGTCCAAAGCTTGTTACCTCCTTGCAGCACATCTTTCTCACAAAGCTGGAAAGGTGAGAAACTCCCCTTCTCCACTGTCAGAGGACTCAACACTTCATCTCCATGTACAGACATGGTATTAGAAATGTATTTCAGATCTGCAGTGGTGATCCTCATGTGCCACTACAGGTTTCCACTGCCTGTTGCTTCTCTGATTAAGGGTACTGACACAGAAGGATGTTTAAGCAGCAGTACTCACTGCTCAAACATGTTTTTGACCTCTGCTAAACCCTCAGCCTTTTATTAGGGGGCACTGCTCAACGGAGAGTACTCAAGATTGAATCCTCTCTTTCCTAGGTAAGAAGTCTCCATGTAAAACCACCTAAAGTAAGACATAAAATGCTGCATTTCAGTGCTAAATCTCATCCATTGACTGATTCACCAAAGATGCTTATTGCCACAGGCACCAGACAGGATGAGAGAAAGGAAACATACAGAGAAACATCCCTAGGGATGGTTTAACAATATACAGGAGATCTGTGCTAATTCTAGCAATGATTTCTTCTCACAAACTGACTCAAGTCTACTCTCCGTATGAAGGGAGGATGTTCAAGCACAGCGATGATACCAAAACCTGCTGATTCAGCAAATGAGACATGCTGACCAACAAAACAATGGCCAGCACAACAGAAAGATCAATGAAGGCCAAACGACATATATTTTACTTTTATTTATTCTTCCAGCTGTTTGTCCACTCTTTCCAGCAAGTTCACAAGAAGGCTGACTTTAAATCCATAAGATTTGGTATTACTTCTAGCACAGTGGAATATGTATGCAGATGAATAAAGGCTTGGCAGCACATTTGCAGTTTAAGGACCTTTGGAAAATCGTGCATTAATAGGGCTTAGTAACTACAGCCTTACTGCATTTCTTTCAGTCAGAACTATGACAGAGTTGAATTTAGGCTTTCTGATATGTTTGTAACATTGCTATTTTTCGCCTTTATGTCTTGTGATTCTCATAAACCAAGGAAAATAGCCTAGATCTGACTGCTCCTTTTAACTGTGAAATATGCAGTTATATCACATAAGTGCTGAAAGTCTCTGTGCCATTAAACTGGCCACAATGGATATTATAATAAAACAGGAGACAACAGAAATAACTCCAACTTACTAGATCCCAACTAGATCCTAACATCCCACCTTAAATGCCTTCAATGAATACTTGATTTGATATAAAATTCAAACTAACTCTCTTTTCTGGTGCAGTATTTATATGGTAATCCGCCTTCTGGAAGGAAGCTTTCACTCATTTCAGTGTCTTTCCTTCCAATACCCCATTTGCAATGCTAACACCCCCAATACTTCTTCTGAGAACTATAAGGAAGGGATCCATAAAATACTGTGCAGGTCAAAGAAAATGTTCATTAAGTGTAACAAAAATGCCTTTTCTTTAATTTAAAAATTAATAGGCTTGCAAACTTTATCTTAAACACAAACAGTACAGTTTCACGTTTTCTTTTTATTTTACCTTTTTTTTCCCCCAAATACTACCAATTGTAGCATGACACAAAATGAGACTGAAACTACTGGTTTGTTTCCATGCATGTTACTGGAAAGCTGATGAAACTATTGAATTCAACACAAGGAATTGCTGGTTTAGGCTTTTTGTACCTTCAAAGTATTTTCTTACATGGCTTCTAAAACTCTTAGTCTTTTAATAATAAAACAGTTCTTTGTCCAAAATTACTGGGACTGAGGTGAAGGATGCATTTTTGGTTGAAAATAAATCTTAATTATGAAGAGTGGATCTCTTTCCAAAATGTTTTGCAACTGCTAGCCTTTGAATCATGGCAATTTCTGAAAAAATAAAAAAAATAAATAGTGGTGCCACCTGGACAATTGAGGAGGATCACCCAAGTGATTGGGAGAGATTTAAGGCCTGGAGGGACTTGTATGGGGCCTGAAAGACTTAATAATTCATGGACTTTCACGTTATTCCCCAGTTTATTGCCATGTTCAATGTACCCCCACAATTATTCCTATGTTAATCCCCTTGGTTTGTATTGTTCAGGGCTTGTCTGGACTTGCCCTCACGTTTTTCCCGCCAAAAGTTGTTTACTCCCTTGTTCTCCCCCGGTTTTCCCGCTCATCTCTCACTGATTGGCTGATGGATGCCGCAGTGCAGAGTGAGCTCCCATTGGTCCCCTACCCTGGATACTCCTAAAGTTCCACCCATCTCCTCTGTGTTCCCCAGTCCTGCTCTCCCCTGAGGTGTCAATCCCATGTTCCACCCCAGTTATCAGACCTCCCTTTACCCAAACCCTATATAAGTCCTTGTTCCCCTCAATAAACTGGCCATCGCACCCTGACCTTCTACTGTGTCAGAACCCTTTGTGCAGTGTCGCGTCCCTACTCCCTTCACCCTCGGGCCGTGGCAGACGATCAGGTATATAAGTACACACTGTGTTCATGGGGCAATCACTACAGTGCTGAATCAAACACAAGGTTATAAAATGTAAGATTCCAGGAATGTACTGAGGCAACTTGAAGGTTTGATTTTTCCTTTTGAAGATGGCTAGAGATCGTTCTTATCAGATTTTGAACACAATGAGAACATATGTTTTTCATTAGCCATCCTCCTTCTCCCACCTCATTCACAAGGTTGGCTTAGTCTTAAATACATGGCTTTGGCTTTTACCTGAAGAAATGCAAATGTGAGATCATCCTAGTGCACTAAACAATGCTTGTTCCCAGTCACTTAAGGCTGTTCAGTTATGGTTTTGCTATTCACATATAACCATTACCTTCCACATCTGCTCTAAGTTTTGGTTTGCATGCAGAAGCCTCATGCAATGTCTCCACAGAGGGAATTCAGGCTCAGACCTTTGGAGCTGTTGGCAGTCCTCAAATAATGCACTGAAAACCACAAAGGGATGGGTCACAGGACAGAATATGCCCCCTCCTCTGTGGAGTTACAATAAGGCTTGATGTCGTTTGCAGCTAAATTTCCAGCCAAGAACTTCAGTATTAAACATAAATTAAATTTTGCCCATAAACTCGCTAAAAATACCTATAGTTTCTAGAGGTGAATTATTTGCATAATTCTTAAGTATCAAGCTTCACTGCTCAAAACCCATCTGCATTTCCTAGGTGGACATAAACCCTCAAAAGCACTATTTTTCATGTAATAAACAAGTTGCAGAAAGGGTAGAAGAATACTGCCAGTCAAGTAATTCGATAAGATTTCCTTGCACGTGGTGGTACAGTGAATAATTTAAAATTAAATGTTTTCCAGTTCCACTGTATCATCTGCATACTATTCATTTAGTTCCTTATATTTTGCAGAAGTAGGGCACATTTTCCAGATACCATTTATAAGCAACAAACACTGTTCATTTTATTCCTTACTGGAAAGTACCCTGGTCTATTCACAAATTAATTTGGGAAGTGACATTGTGACAGTTAGCCCCAAATGCTGCTCCTGACACAAGCAGGAAAGAAAGGATGAGTAGGTGGGATTTTGTGTTTGGCATTTCAGAATCAGGGGAGGTAATGTTTCCAGTTATATACACATAAAATTATTTCTGAGAAGACATGCTGAACTTAGGCATTAAGCTAAATACCTATAGCCCTACATTATTTCATGTTATTTTCCAAGGCATCATTAATTCCCTTGTTGAAAGCTTGCTTCTTAGCAGTATTTATCTTATTTTGGAAAAATTACAGATCTATGAAAGAGCTTTATTTTGTTATACTGATTTATATAACTAGTTCCTTGCACATTGGTACTAAAGAAGTAGAACTCTTCTGTAATGGCAAGGGGAGTTCATTAGTAAACCACCAAAACTGTACAACTGGAAATAAAAACAAAGCATAAAAGCACAGCATTTCACATAAGATGAGCTTTCAACAGAAATATTAAAAAAAAAAACAAACAACCCTCAAACACCCTGCCATTTTAACTTCAGACCAACTGCAAAGGCACTAAGAATTGAAGTGTGCAACTCATGTCCATACCTGTGAGAGTAACGACCGCAGTGAGACGCAAACCTCCAAGGTAGACTATGGCACTGTACAGTCCACTAGGCATTCCTGGTACATAACGGCAGTTTTATGTTTTCTTAGGATAAGCTGAAAACATTAACTAAATATACAAACTACATCATATTTCCATGGGGAAAAAAAAATCCAATTTAGACCATCTGAAGACAAGGAAACAAGGCATAACATACAGGACATTGTTGGAACAAGAAAGTGTTATCACATCAAAACACGTCCTTTTAAATTTAATCCAGAAAATACACAGGAATGGTGGTGGCAGAGGCAAAGGGACAGGACAAATATCAAATATCCAGTTCTAAGCATGCTACTGAGGTCTTTGTTTCAAAAAGTGAAGCTACCAAAATCACTTCAGAGGCAAGAAAGCACATATCGTCAGTCCATCCCATTTCCAGGCATTCTTCTTGTGGGCTGACACTGAAGGATCTGTTCAGTATTGTTTCCATGCCTGAGGCTGCCTAAAGCTTCCCATTAGCAAATGCTGCCTCCTGGAACTGAGGGACAAATGTCTTGAAATAGGCCCTAGTGAAAAAGAAAAACAACAAAAACCACATGATTAGGAAGGAGGAAACATAGAGCATGAATTGATGCAGTTGATAAGTGCCATGTTTCTGGGAAAGAAAGGTTTTTAGTGTTTTTTTTTCTCCCCTATGTGGAAAAAACTTCACATATGGTAGCAAAGGCCCAAATACAGACGAGTCAACGGAGGAGGAAAATCATGAAGAGAAGTCAGAATATGTGCAGGAAATAAGCTCTTTATCTGCCTCCTTACAGAATCCTTGACACAATACCATCACTCTTCATGGGAGTGGTTTACATAAGATGTAGTGAATAAATATTAACAACTTTGGACAAACTGTAATTCCTTTTATTAAACTTCAAAGTTTATAGAATAATGTTCTTACTTAAGGTGTGCTTTGTATATTTTGGATCTTAGTCTACCTTCTTTACAAAGGATCGAGTGACTCATAAATCCGTAAAATGAGCTGATCCTAAGTATCCAAAATTGAGTTTGAACTGTATCTTTGAGTTTATTATGCTGAGGTACTCAACCATGTAATAAACATATTTTATATGTCCAAATGATACCGTTTATTTGCCAGTTACATTAGAAGCTGCTTCACTGTTCTGCATTTGGTTTCTGTCTATGGTTTTCTGCATCAAACTTTCACTTTCTTGTTTTTTTCTTTTTAAACATTTTATTTTCTGTTCATATCACTGGTCTGTATAAATGTCTGTTCTCCCTGCCAAAAAAAAAAATCTAAAGTGAGAATAGCTGCAATGACACTCATTACATTCTTGATCTCTCTGCTGGTTTAGCTCCTGAAGCAAACATACACCGATTAGCTTCACAATCATGACACGTTTCTAACTGCAGTAGAAGTTTTGGTGATCACTGAACACCAATCATAGCTCCTCACATCTCAAAACATTTCAAGATCACAAAGAGAACGCTCCTCTCTCTTTGTGAGGTTGTGCCTGGCAAATTAATTAACAGATAGCTGCAGTCAGCTTTTGTGCAGAAGCTGTAAACACACACGAGATGCTGTCCAAAGGTTAAAAGAGCAATGGAAAGTAAAAGCATTTCTGGACTGAGGAGATGATCCTAGAAATGGAAAACAGGAGGAGGACAACCAGCACACACATTTTATAGCATACACAGATTGTGCTATGTATTTACAGAATACACTTTGGTTTATAGAATCAAAGTTCAGAAAGCAACCCTCATAATCATGCCCACAAAAGTGATTGTTCATGTTGGCACATACTCGTACATAAACCAGCTCAGAAGGTATGCCTGTTCTATATTTGCACTTTTTATAGCATACCTTTCAGATTGTAGCCTCTCTATGTCCTGGTCAGTTCAATGTATTTTGCTAGCTCAAGGAATATCACCTGCATGTTGTCAATGCCAGGAATCTATCATACTTTTACTTTTCCTTGCATTATCTGTCCTAACATTTAATTACACATCTCTGCTTGCTTATTTTAAGTACCTTCTCCCTTCCTTTTAGATAGCTTCTCTGCACATGATCTTATTGACTTGATAAATGCTACTTAAAACTTCCCTCTTCCAAAACTGTAAAAATTCTTAATCATTAAATGGTATATAAGCAGAATTATTTTCCTACATTCCATTTCTTTTCCTTTATAGCATTTCTGTGCTTTGTATTAAAACCACACTTACTGCATTATATGCAGTAATTATATATGACTTTGCTGTTAGGTAAATTCCAGAACGAATGCTTCTGATACCACAAACATCCTCCCACACCATCTTTATCTACACTTGCATCCTTTCTTTTCACTGACTCCTGCAGTAGAGCTTGTATCCTCTGCTGCAAAACAAAATCTAACACCTCCCTACATTCTGATCAGATGTACTGTTTCAAAGAGGATGTTATTTCACTGGTAGTTCATATGAACCATACACTACAAAAATTCCTTTAACAGTTCATAATTTTTAAATGTCTACTTTTTTTCCTTCCATACCTTAAAGTATATGCTTAAGTTTGCCCTTATCATTTGTGGTCTTGCCCAGATTGAAACAAATGCAGTACCACACGTTCACCTGGGATGTGTTCCTCCATTTCTGCCCCTCTCCCATACACCATAGGTATCTCAGATTAGGCAAAATCCAAGATAATTATGGTTCATCACATACACATCCAAAAATAAATTAAAACACCCACCCCCCTCACCAAACCAAAACAAGAAAGACCCTGCAAAGAAATCCAAAAGCACAATATACTTGATAGACTGTACCAGCTACAGCATATTTAATAGACTGAACAGAAAAGATGGGGAACTAGGAGAAGGGAGGTTAAACTGCTCAATGAACACTGCATATAGGGAGGGAATGGCAACTGTTAGTACATGAAAGTAATATCACTTATTTTGCATGTGTATGAAGGAGTAGAATGGGCAGCAAAGACATAACTTATTATTAGAGGTTGCTGGACGTTATTTTTTTTTAATTACATGGCTTTTTCAATGAAAAATTACATTTTTACCCAGTTGTGTGCATTTCTGTGGAAATGCTACTGAGATTCCATCAGGAAAAGAATGAGGTATTTCAGTTTGGCTAGATCTAGAAAGATATTCTGGTTTGTAGAACTAAGCCTAAACAATTGGCTTGATATTAACCTTCATATCTGTGGTCCAGCATCTCAGAGATGATGCATGTTGGCCCACAGACAAGGCCTTGGTGCATCACAAGAGTCCTAAGCACAAAAACAAAAGCAGAAGAAGTCCCTTCAAAGAACCCAGTCCATGAAGAATGATGAGATAAATCATTAAAATTTCTTCTTTCAGGAGGCATTGTGCTACTGCTAGCAGGTGCATTATAGGGTCACATTAACTGCATTTTTGTTTTCATACGTTCCAAGCAAAATTTTTTCTAAACTTTTTCTTTTCATCTAAAGTTTGGGACAAAACCATATGTTAAAATGCCTGAATTGCCCATGAAATGAAAATTCTAACATTTTTTCTCCTCCGCATATATTACCAGTAAGGAGGAAGAGAAGCACCAATCACCTTCTGAGTAAGTTTCATTTATTGACCAACTGGCATTGAAGTCAATGTATACATGGACATGTATACATTGTATACAGGACCACGACATGGACTATTTATGTGACAACAGATTAGGTGAAATAACTTCAAGAGGAATATAAAATTTTTTGAAGGACAATACTCTGCTATAGACTGCATGGTAAGGGCCTCCTTCACATGGAATGCTATTCCTTTTAGAAAGATTTTAAATTAAGAGAAAACACTCATATTCCAGCATCCTGTACATAGAAACACAGAGGAACAGTGAATATAAACATGAACTTTGGAAAAAGATTAGTTTCTCATACCCTATACACATAAACATATTCACATGACTTTACACCCTCAACAACTTTGATCTGTGCTACACCACAGGAATTCACATAAAAATATCTGAAATTTTTTTTTTCAGACACTTTGCCACATGATACTTTCAAGTATCTTCAAACTATTTTGAAATTATTATTTTTACATCCAGTAGATATGCTTTTCAGCTCTGGAGAACTATTATTAAAAAAAATAAATCAGTAACTTGGGTACCTGTTGAATTACACTGAAGATGAAGAAAGCTAACTTGACCTATAGTCTCTCAAGGCTGTGTCAAATGGCAGAAATCAGCTTTTGATCAATGCTTTTTCTCCTTTCTGGGAAACACAGAGTTCCTTCTTTCTCTTGCTTTCCTCTACTATGTTCTTGGTGGGTCTGTATCACACTGACCTCACACTAACCTCAGAAGAACTGCATAAAATGCTCCTTCAAGTACAGAGAAACTCATTTGTACGAAGTCCACAAATATTCTTTAGCAGAGTGTTGAATACAATCAACACTCAAATAAAGTAAAACACATGTTGAGTGTTGCATCCTTCTCACAATGGTTTAGATCTCAGCTTAAACAGTGTTTAAAGAGTTGTTTTCAGTCTAGAGTGGGTGCCAATCTTCATACACTTACAGGCACCTGTCTAACTCTTTGTTGAGCATCTTACCATAAGATTCCATTGTTTTTGTCCATTTGTTTTTGTTCCCTCAAATGGTCATTTTCCAAGTTCAAGGTAGCAAGTTATGAGGTTTCTATGGAAATTTTTCTTCATCACTCCAGAAAACAACACATTTTGCTGTAGTTAACCACTATATATACTTGAATTTCAGGTGCTACGCTCAAGGACATCTGCTGAGAGTAAAGCACTTCTCTTTCCTTCACCTTATTATCCAGTGTAAAGAAAGTCTTGCTATTATTCCAAGTGGTAAGCATCTAAAAGAATGTAGAATTGGCTCACCTGCTGTTGAAGTATTTTCTAGTGATATGAAACACTGACTGTGGTACAAGGTCTCCAGAAGCCCATACATGTCTAAATCCCAGGGTGTCAGTTTGCAGCACTTGAAACATACTTGACTCAGAATTCACATGGTTTTGTGAAATTTCATTCCAACTGTAATGGATTTTTTTCCAGGATAATTTAGTGCTGGGTTTTTTAAATGCAGTTGGTAGAAAATCTGCATTGACCATTTGATAATACCTTTTGCCTTCAGATAGCTGAAGGTACTCTTTTTGCTGAAAATCTGCAAAGATTTTAAATTATGCAGATGCAATCTCCCATCAAACAACACTTCACATATATTTATGGTGAAAGCATTCTAACACTAACACGCTTTCTGCTGTTGCTTTTGCTGGACTGGTGCTATAGTCAACAATACAATGGTTACTGCTCCTGGTGTAATAAAGTTAGAAGAGTTAGCTAGGTGTTTCTATTTCTCTTAAAATCTTCATGTGGTAAATTTGGAGCAGAACACCAAGATTCAATCTCTGTGAGGAAAAAAGCATACAAAATGCTATATCAGTGGGATTTCTGCTTTTTGTGTCTGGGACAAGGACAATCGTCATGGGGTGAGGAATCATCTTCCCAAGTCATTCACAAAACAGATTCCCCTTAAACTCCTCAGTTCATGAGTGCCAAGTTTTTCAGCATGCT